GAAACTATATATGGCCCTCTCACCATATACTAAAATCAACTCAAAATGGATGAAAGACTTAAGTATAAGACCCCAAACTGTAAAACTACTAAGGGAAAATATAGACGAAACACTTCAGGAACTAGGTCTGGGCACAGACTTTATGAACATGAGCCCAAAAGCACAAGCAGCAAAAGAAAAAATAAATAAATGGGACTATACCAAACTAAAAAGCTTCTGCACAGCAAAGGAAACAATCAACAGAGTGAAAGGACAACCTACAGAGTGGGAGAAAATTTTTGCTAACTATGCATCCAACAAGGACATAAGGGAGGTCAGACGTAATAGTGGAGGAGACGTGTGGTATAATCGCAATTTCGTGGTAATTGGCGTGCTGCCAGTATGGATCTGGCCTTCACATCCTGGGCATGAGAGGTGACAATCAGCTTTGTATCTCATGAATATTCATAACCAATAAAAATATTAATCCAGAATATGCAAGGAACTCAAGTAATTACACAGTAAGAAAACAAACAACCCAATTAAAATATGGGCAAAGGAGCTGAATAGACATGTTTCAAAGGAAGACATACAAGTGGCCAACAGGTACATGAAAAAATGCTCAACATCACTAGTCATCAGGGAAATTGAAATTAAAACTACACTGAGATACCACCTCACCCCAGTGAGACTAGCTATAATCAAAAAGATGGTGAATAACAAATGCTGGTGAGGGTGTGGAGAGAAGGGAACACTCCTGCACCGTGGGTGGGACTATAAATTAGTACAACCGCTATGGAAAACAATATGGAGGTTTCTCAAACAACCACTGATAGATCTTCCATATGATCCATCAATCCCACTTCTGGGTATATAACCATAGGAATGGAAATCATCATGTCAAAGGGATTCCTGCATTCCCATGTTCATTGCAGCTCTGCTTACAATAGCCAAGACACAGAACCAAACTAAATGTCCATAGATGGATGATTGGATAAGGAAACCGTGATATATATACAGCATGGAATACTACTCTGCCATAAAAAAGAATGATCTCTCATTTGCAACAACATGGATGAGCTTGGAGAAGCTTATGTTGGGTGAAATAAACAAAGCACAGAGGGATAAGTGGCACATGTACTCACTCATTAGTGGGAGCTATGAGAAAAAGAAGGAAGGAAAGAAAGATTGCAGTGGTGCGTTGGACTTGCAGAGGGAGAGAACATTCCTTGTGATACAAAGTGGAGTGGGGGCAGGAAAGAGGGAGGGTCAGGGAGGTTGGAGATAATTGGGTGGAGGACACAGTGTAGAAATACAATTTGTGGTAATGGGCATGCTGCCAGTGTGAATCTGGCCTTCATATCATGGGCACGAGGGGTGACAATCAGCTCTGTATCTCATGAATATTTATCACCAATGAAAAGAAAGTAAAACTATGTTACAATTAAAAAAAAGGAAAAAATCTTTAATCCATTAACAAAAAAAGAAAAAAGAAAAACACCTGGGGGCTGCTGACAGTGGATGTCTCTTTACCTTTTACCACCAGCTGCAGGGCTTCACTGTACCCTGACCAGTGGTACTCTTTCCTATATGGGCACTGATAATACCCTGCAGTATTTGTATCCATGCGGTTAATGGTGAATGCAGCCAATTCCTGAATTCCCAGTTTCTTCTCTACCTCCTTGTATGTCGAGTTTCCCGGGATTACCAGTTGGTACAGGTAAGATTCAGGAGTTCCCTGGCACAGAATCTTCACAGACACATTCCAGAGGATCACGGGACTTGGTACGGCAGATATGATAGGACTGGGAAAGTCCCCTGGGGCAAAAGAAAGCCTAGACTCAGGTGGCCTGCATGGGGAAACCATTTCTTTCCTTCTCTGTGGAGGAAACACAAATAAATGAAAGTGTGAGAGGTCTACAATTCTTTCCTTTTTTAAATAGTTTTTTTAAATACATAAAATATACATAAAATAAAATTTGCAACTTTAACCATTTTAACATTAACTCAGTTGCACTAATTATATTCACCATGTTGTGCAACCACCACTACTATTCCTAAAGTTTTCATTACTTTGAACGAACCCTGTAACCAGTAAGCAATAACTTGCCAATCTCCCTCCCCCCAGCTTCTGTTAACCTCTAATCTACTTTACATCTGTGAATTTAACTACTGTTGGTAACTCATAAAAGCAGAATCACAGTATTTTTCTTTGGCTTATTTTCTTAAAATAATGTCTTCAAAGATCATCTACATCATAGCATGTGTCAGAACTTCATTTCTTTCCATGGCTGAATAATATTCCATTGTATATATACACCACATTTTGTTTATCCCTTCATCTGTCAATGGATATTTACATTGTTTCCGCCTTTTGCCAATTGTGAATGATGCTGCAATGAACATTGGTATACAAATAGTTCCTAAAATCCTTGCTTTCAATTCCTTTGGTTGTATAGGTAGAAGTAGAATTGTTAGATCATATGGTAATTCTATGTTTAGTTTTTTAAGGAACAACATTTTTATGTGTTTATTTTTATTGATATGAAATTCACATAACATAAAATTAACAATTTTTAAAGTGTACAATTCACTGGCATTTAGTACATTCGCAAGGTTGTGCAACCATCACCTCTATCTTGTTCCGTTTTCATCACCCTCAAAGGACACCTTATATTCATTAACCTGTCTTATTAAATTCTCTTCTTTCCCCAGCTCCTGGCTACCACTAATCTACCATGAAGTTTGCTTAATATTTGGTTTCTGTAATAATCCTTACCAATACCCAATTCTGCTCTCCACTCTAAAATGAAGGTGTAGAAGCTTGGAAATACCATGTCAATTGCTCAAGATCACAAATTGAATACTAACCAAGCCTGGTTTGGAAACTGGGAATATCTCAGTCCAGATTCTGAACTCTCTTCCTGCAGATGGGGAGAACTCTCTATCCTGGAGCAGTTAGAGAACGCGATGTGAAGGACCACTAATACAAGCGTCTGATAAATACGATGATTAATTCTGTGAGACAGCCTCCTGGCTTTGATTCATTCATGCTGTGATTTTGCATCCTGGAGACTTCTGTTCTCAGCTATAATACCGATACAGAACAGGAAAGGGGTGGGGGATGCTCAAAACCTGCTTGTTCCCTTTATCAGGGTGTGCCACTTATTTTAGACACGATAGCAATGTGTTCAACTGCAGCTCTGTAAAGGGGGAGAAAAAGTGAATTTGTCAACCTCTACAAGGATTGCTGCCAAGCAAGACAAACCTGATGCAGGTGGCTGTGGAAGCTGCCGCTGATGCTCATTGAAGCTTGCAAGGATTCCGTATATTCAGTATAATTCACCCACCAATACATCTATGCATTTGTTGTTTCTAAATATATGCAGAGATGTCTACATTATCCAGATGTATCATTAATCTTCTATTATGACCTATACCAGTGGTTCTCAACAGGAAATAATTTTGCTTTCCAGGGGACATTGGCAATATCTGGGGACATTTTTGGCTGTCACAACTGGGGTGGAAGACACTACTGGCATCTGGTAGGTTGAGGCCAAGGATGCTGCTAAACATTCTACAATGCATAGAACAACCCCCTAAACAAAGGATTATCTGGCCCCAAATATCAATAGTGTCAAGGTAGAGGGACCCTGACCTAAAGATGGTTAAAGAAAATGATGATGTGGAAATGTCATATATTAATTAAAAACACGAGTATGTAGTGGTAGATATGTGATCTGCAGTATAAAGCAGTAGAACTTGGAGATCTGGTAACAGACATGGGAATTCAGGTGATATGTGAGAATGAGTAGGAATTGTCTAGGAAATGTGCATAGGTAGGGTTGAAGTATTGTAGATAGAAGGGCAGCAGGGGGAAAGGCCCTGAGTCAATAAAGTGAAGTGAATGAAGGAGAAACTAAATTAAGGTCAGTGTGGGTGAAGATCAGAGCCACAGAGGGAGAGTGGATGATATGCTGAAGGAGTAGACACAGGCCACAGTGAGCAGGGTTTGGTGGGCCTGGGGAGGTTGGTGAGCTTATCTGAAGACAGACTACTGAAGAGTTTTGATGGAGTTTGGATGTGTTGTCCCCTCCAAAACTCATGTGGAAATTTGATCTCCAATGTGGCAGTGTTGGAAACTGATTGAGTCATGGAGGCGGATCCTTCATGAATGGATTGCTCTCCTTGGGGGTGGAGGGGTAGTGAGTGAGTTCTCCCTCTATTAGGCTCATGCCAGATGCTGCTGTCCCAGAATCATAAGCCAAATAAACCTTTTTCCTTATAAATTACCCAGTCTCAGGTATTTCTTTTTTTTTTTCTCTTCCAAATTTTATTTTATTTTGTCAGTATACAATGTGGTTGATTATTGTGGCCCATTACTGAAACCTCCCTCCCTCCTCTCGCTCCCCCCCCTCCCAACAATGTCCTTTCAGTTCACTTGTCATATCAACTTCAAGGAATTGTAATTGTTGTGTCTTCTTCCCTCCCCCCATTTCTTTTTGTATTTATTTATTTATTTTTAGCTCCCACAAATAAGTGAGAACATGTGATATTTCTCTTTCTGTGCCTGACTTGTTTCAGTTAATATAATTCTCTCTAGGTCCATCCATGTCATTGCAAATGGCAGGATTTCATTCATTTTAATAGCAGAGTAGTATTTCATTGTGTAGATATACCACATTTTCCGTATCCACTCATCTGATGATGGACATTTGAGCTGGTTCCAACTCTTAGCTATCGTAAAGAGTGCTGCA